CCGTCCCAGTGGCTACTAAATAATGATCTCACGCGCAAGTGAATTGTTGAAGCCCGCGTGCAAATTTGCTGATCAACGACATACATATCTCTTGGACTGAAATTTGTAGATAAGCTTAAAGCCGCTATACTCACAAGTAAATATGTATAGCTAAATGTTGAAAAATCATTACTTGAAAGTTAAAAGTTTTTCGATCGACTAAAGCTGGGGTCTCCAAACTTTTCAGCCCGAGGGCCGCATTAACTATCAAATATCAGTTCGGGGGCCAGAGTTTCTTCAAGACATCTCTTCGGGGTGGCAGCGTCCCCCCCCCCCCCTGAAAAACGTGTACCGCCCCCCCCCCCCCTTAACGAAATATAGTTTATATAGAAATATATACAAATTTCAAGTGCCCCCCCCCCCCCGGAGGAAAAAGTCTGAAAGAAACACTGTCGGTGGCCAAAATCACACTGGAGGTCCAAGTTTGCTCTCAAATTGTTCTTCACGTATTTCAATCTGGAAAATATTTGTTGACACGTGTATGTTATTCCAAAATTTGAAAGGTACTTTGATGCAAAAGTTTTAATATTAGGAAAATCTTCCTTTTGCAAAAACTTATAAAAACCCACCCGCCCTTCTTTGAACGTAACTCTAATGACCTCCAGCTGCAGTTCACCTTTGCAATTGGCCACATTTGCTTCAAATGGGTTCTGAAACAGTCTCACTTTTTTCTGCCTTTGAATCCAAGTCAAAAAACGCTACTGAAACTGCAGCTTGAAGTCTTTGTCTCGTATGCAAATGACGTGGGGAACTCAGTGGTTGCTTCAGCCTAAAGACCTTTCACTGCTGAGAGTGTGTAAGTTGTTGGCGTGTATTTATTCCAAAAACATGAAAAGTTTGGATCTGAAAGCCTTTAGGTGTATAGATCAGAAACTAGATTTCCATCTCTTGTAGTTTTAGGTTCAGAAAATTTAAATGACTTGTTATGTTTGCAGCAGAGGCCAGTTTCTATACCCACTCTTCAACAGACAGTAAGTACATCAGCGTGTGCCTTTACTTGTAAGGAAGTCACCTATTTCCTTTCTTAACTAAAATAATCTGCTCAGAAAAATTTGCGATTCTGTGTTTCTATCTTTTAACTTGTTTTTGAACTATTTATATTCTCTCCCGTAACAGTGCCATACATTCTATGTAGGGAAGCCAGCTCTTGTGTTATGTTTATGTCTTCATCCACAACTCAAATGAACATAAACAGTTGAGATGTGGAACAGCTGTCCAGCAACTGATCCATTACAATTAAAAAATTGCCAAACTTGCTTGCATTTTCGCTATTTTAGTCACGATGTTTTCATCTATGTCTGCAACTCGACGGGCAATGGTATTTACACCCAAAGCTACATTTTCAAATCATTTTGCATTTTCTGGGCAAAGTTCCTCAGCCACCTCTAACAAACATTTATTCCGTGGACAAAAAGATTGCCGAGGGCCGGATGAGAGGACCTCGCGGGCCGCATCCGGCCCGCGGGCCTTAGTTTAGAGACCCCTGGACTAAAGCATAGGCTTAAGAACATGGTCGATTGAATTAAAAAAAATAACCGTACTTTCACCATACCAGAAAGCTCTTGAAGCTCTTGCTAGAGGTAGATAACTCTAATGTACAGTATAAAAACATTCTCAAATACCAATGTCCTTGTTTTGTAAATAGCAGAAGGTAAGGGCGGACAACCCGCCTATTCATCACGTCTGCTACGCTCCCCGTCAACGTTTTTCTCCGGTCTGTAAGCAGCGTCTTCCCCCTTACATCCTTACAGTGAACGTTCTCCAATCAATAGCCTAAGCAGTATTGATTTTATCCGCGTATTTACATTATCTTAAAATATTACACAAACAAGGAAAAACAAATTCTTTTAAGAACGGGGGCTACGATTCTATTTATAGACAGAAAAACTTCGTCACTTCCGCTTCAAATGTTTAGATGGAAAAATAATCAATTCAACATTGTAGGATTGTGGTATAAATAATTGATTAGATTAAAAACATACTTTTCTAGGAACCTTCCTCTAATTTGAATAACAAATGCGTTTGGTTTTAAATTGTTATGAACGTGTCGCTACGATCACCCCGTCCTTTACGCTTCAGCGACTCCTCAAGGCAAACGAACGCAATTAGCGATCATGCTCATTAAATATTAATTTATGGAACATCCACCCTGGTTCTTGAGATAACGAAATGGGAGTAAATGCCAAACGTGGTAAAAAAAATTATTTTAGTAAAAAAAAAATTCTAATTTTTTTTTTACTTAGCTTGAAGCATATTATCAAACATTCGTGGAGGGGGGTACGTGGTTTTTTTTTTAGTAATTTGAGCGTAAATGTTTATCAATATGTGTGACGGTATGAACGTGAGTGAATGAGTAGTAATAGGACTAACCACGACAACAACATGTAATGATTTTGAAGCTGTGTGTCCCAAGTTACTGACAGTACAAAGCCTCGTCCTACGATTCAAAGTCTGACTTTGTTGTTGGCGCAGTCGAAAGGTAGAGCGTACGTTTGCTAATCTGTGAGTGTAGGGCTCGCTTCCAGGTGTTCAAGTTATTGCGCCTGAGTCTACTCAGCTGTAATGAGTATCTGGCTTAAAGTTGGAAAAAAATGAACCCCAAGTATGGGGTATAAAGCATACCATACAATAATCTACGTGTGTTATGATCAGAGAAACAGATGAACTCAACTTCAATCTCTATATGTGGGGGCGGGGTTGAGGGGGCGGGGGGGGGGTTCACGGTGGGGGTATTCTGAAATTTGTGTGGATGTGAAAAGTGGAAACTAAATCAGTCCCTGAAGGTTACCAGAATAGGTGGAGTAGAGTCCATCTGTATTGACGATATTTAGAATGTAATTTTTTACCTAAACCAATTAGTACGGATCGACTGGGTGACGACCTTTAATTGGGGCGTCGTTTTATTTAATTAGAATAATTATCTAATTGACTACAAAAATATTAAAGCTTTTCCTCTAATTAATGCAAATCATGTCGTCTAATTAGTGACAGATATTCACGACACACCCTCTGTCATTAAACGCCTGTCATTTTAGTGATCTACTAGGTTTTAACACTAACTCAGTACAAAATCCTTTTGTTCTTTTATGTCATTGTAAAAATAAAGTATTTGCCCTTTACCGTCATATGAGATACCTAGTGATAGTACCAAAGCATTCTGGACGATAAGCATCAAAAGACAAAAAAAAAACTAAATAGCTTCACTATAATAACATATACGTTGCAAGGGAACATATTTGGGGTAGTTGGATTGTGTGTAAAAGTAAAGTAAAGTTTCCCTTTCAAACCTGACGGTCTATGGAGCAAGTGAAGTAGAGTTCACCTGTTTCTGTGACCTCGGCATATGAAGAGATTGTGTGTGGGTGTGTAGAAAGTGAAAACGGGCTCGAGTTCGAACCCACGGGCAGATGAATCTAGATAGCTGGGGACAGCAATCATTATAGGAGAAACAACTCCAAAATCAAACAACTGCTGCCTTGTAGTTTGTTTTTGGTTGGACAAAGGCTATGAAAGCAAATCCAAAAATAAAAACAGGCTGAAATCGTAGCCAATGGTATATGGCGCACAACATGTTGATACGTAATACTTAATTGTTTTGGAGGGAATCCCATCCAACATTAAACATTAAGAACGCAGAAGTACTTACTCGAAACGAACAAGTCAAAATCTACTTTTTAAACGTTACTTGGATGATGTATTGAGATAATTATTTTTAACGTGTTCTTAAGGTTACGGGAGTGCTGTAAAATCGACTGAAATCTGAACATATTTTTTATAGATTTTTCTTTTACTGCATCGTCGTTGGCATAAAAAATTATTTTAAAAGAAATTTTAAAAATAATAATAATCGCTGCTTTAAATTAGAAATCTGATGTCTGAAATGTTTAAAACCAGAGTGACATTTAAAACAACCTGACTAGCAGATCAATCTCCCCCACCCTCACACCCTCTTACCCCCGGGCTATACTTGAAAAAGACTTGGATTGTGTTGTCAATACGACAAGTACATGGTATCGATAATCTAATCACGAGGTAGCAAAAAGTAACCGAGCACTTAAAAAACTTTGTAGAAAATGATAAAAAATTGTTCTGGTAAAGTGAACCACTTTCTCGCAAATCGATGTGATTTTCCTTGTTTGAACTCTCAGTTTAACCTTTGGGTGGGTGGGGGGAAAGGGGAGGGGGCTCACTTGTTCTATTTGAAGATATTACGAAAATGACTAAAACGAAATGTTTATCTTTAAAGGTCAAAGATACGTACTAGTGTAGTGCTTAAAATATGTTATGGACTGTTTAAAGTTTAAAATTTTGAGAGCGCATGGTCAAATGGTAGAGCTTACGTCTACTAACCCAAAACTGTCGAGTTTGAAACCCGGGCTCGAGTGACTAAGCATCCTTGACTCCACCCATCTCCAATGTGTACCTGGAACTTGTTAGGGCAACAAAGGCTACCAGTGCTTTGAACTTATTATTCTTGTGAAGCAAATTGAAATCTCCAGAAGAGAAATAGCAGAACATATAGTTGTATACTCTCATGAGCATTTAACAAGCGTAAAATTGTTTTAATAGATAAATGTGTTTAAACTTGTTTTATGGGACGGCGTGGCCTATCAAAAGAGAGCTAAACTGCTAACCTGAAAGTCTCGAGTTCGAATCCGGGCTCAAGTCAGTAGAACGTCCCTGAGTCCACACAGCTCTTATTGGAAAGCATAGGCGGCTGGGTATAGTGCTGAATTCACTATCCCCTCATATTCCGATGTCTCTGAAACAGATGAACTCTACTTCATCTGCCCCGTGTGTCTTGAGCAGGCATGAGGGAAAATGATGCAACTCTGCTTTTACACTTATTATCTCTCATTTTAACGTTCTACTCTATCTCTCTCACTACGGCTCTCTCTCTCCTCCTCTCCCCCTCTCTAGAATGGAAGAACTAATACCCACAATGTTTTCTACTCTCTAGAATGGAAGAAATGGTGGCAAACATGTTGCAGTACAAGCTGAAGATTGACCAACTCAAGCAGGAAAACACAAGCATGAAAACGTCGTATGAGGTAACTGTCTTCTAGCTGTGGTCTAGCTTTCTCGCTGCTGTTTCATAGCTGTCACGTATCTATCTCGTAGCTGTTTAGTAGCTGTCATGAAGCTGTCGCGAAACTTCGTTATCAGTGTTCTGCCTCTGTTTCATTCCCCTCCATTTTCCTATTCCCCTTCTCCTTTCTTTTCCCCATTCCACTCCCTCCTCTACCTCCCTCATACGCTCCGTTCCTCATCCCCTACCGTTACTAATCCCTTACTTGCAACTCCCCATTCCCTTCTCTCCCGCTCCATTCCCCCTTTTCCTACTTCCCTCTCCCCATTCCCGTCCCTCCTCATTACCTTCCCTCTTTTTCCAATAAAACAAAATTAACCAAGTTAACTTTGGTTTGGCAAGAAATATTTTAAACTAAACCTCTCAACTACGAGCTTCGCCTAACGCGTTTAACATCAAATATATACTCTTTAACTCTGTCTATTTTTATCACGATAACTTCTTTTAAAGCAAAGAAAAATCGTAAACAAACTAACCTGTGTGTATCCCCAACAGAACAATCTCCAGAAATACTGTAGCCATATCAGTAACCTGGAGAGAGACAATATGATGCTCAGGAATCAGGTCAAAAAAATGGAAACACAGGTAGCTTTCACATTTTTTTTAAAAATAAAAGCACAAAACACCAAAAAACCTGTTGCAATGCCAAAAAAAAAATATATATATTCGCACAGAAAATTATAAACATAGTTTCGACAGTAAGACAAATGTGTAACGCGTTAAAAGAATGCATTATTTGTTTAGTTTTCAAGAAGGTTTTCAAACATACCTGAACAAACGGCATTTATGTAGCATAATAAATTTCTTTCAAAAGAAACGTAATACTTCTTACACGTTATTATTTTTTAAAGCGCTAAATATATATTTTACACACAGTTTTAAAATACATATTAGTGTAGTTGTACACACAAACACATCATGAAATATTTCGCTTGTTTTCCTTACTGCCTAGCTCAAAGAAAATATTTTCTCGGCGTTATTAATGGAGAAAAAATAATCTTCTGTTCTATCACAAATGAAGTTTACAGTTTACAAATGTGACATGAATTAGGCCAGTTACACATTGCAATTGTGTATAAATAGCTTCATTTTATCGTAGACAAATAAGTAATTCAAGTATAGTTATTATAAAAAATATATTTAAAAACCGTTATTTATGTTCCCCTTATCTTTTAAGTACAAACAAGCTGTTGTTCAAATTAACCGCGTTTTCTTTTTTTTTTAACACTCAGAAATCTTAATAAACAACCTGTCGCTTTTTTTTTTTTTTTTTTGATACGCTTGTAAACAACGTAAAATTTATACATCCGAACACACATTTTGCCTTAAGAATGTGATCTTTGTTAAAAAAAATTACCTGTATAAAAAAATTAACCCCACGTCAACAACATTGCTGTTTGTCTTCCCCCGTGCCAGCTCCACGGTAAGGGCGATGATAGGGATAAGAGCAAGCTGTTGCTGGAGCGACTCAAGATGGTGGAGGCGGAGAACAGCTCGCTTGTCCTAGAGAACGAACAACAGAGGCAGCAGTACGAGAAGTGTCTGGACGAGATAGCCAATCAGGTGGTGCAGGCGCTGCTGGCCCAGAAGGTGGGTGGTGGTGTTGGTGTGGGTGGTGGTGGTGTTGGTGTTGATTGTGGGGGAGGGGGGAGATGGTGGTGGTGCAGGCGTTGCTGACCCAGAAGGTATGTGGTGGTGGGGGGGGGGGATGGTGGTGGTGGTGGATGGTGGTGGTGATGTTGGGGGTGGTGGGGGTGGGTTATCTCACCTGATTATTTCATACATGTTTATCTCTTATTTTCCATATGTTATCTCACACGGGGATGGGGGTCTTATTTCACCTGTTTTCTTACCTGGTTTATCTCACATAGCTTATCTTTTTATATAATCATATGATTTCTTACATTGAGGTGGGGATGGGTGTCTTATTTAACCTCTTTCCTTAAATGGGTTATCTCCCACATTTATCTTATATTTATCATGTTTCTTACGTAGTGGTGGGTGGGGGGGGGGGGGGGTTACTTTACCTGTTTCTGTCCCTGGCGTATCTGATATTTATCAATTGTTTTCTTACATTTGGGTAGGGATGGGTCTATTTCACCTGTTTTCTGACATGGTGTATCTGTTATATTTATCTCAAATTTACCATGTAGAGGGTGGGGGAAGGAGGGTGTCTTATCTCACCTGTTGTCTCACCTGGTTTACCTCATACACTTTCTCCTACATTTTCTATCTATTAATTATCATTTGTTTTCTTACCTGGCATATCTCGCACATCTATAAAAAGATAATTTAAGTGATTCACAAAAATACCCGAAAAATTAGAAATCAACGTCACCTATATATATATATATATATATATATATGTATTATATACATGTATAATAAAAACTCTAAGCTTATTTAATTTACTTAATTGCCCTCAAGCTTACTGAACTGTATATTTATTGTAAAAATTCAAAACTTAAATCCTAACCCTGGGCGTGGTTCAAACCCTCGGGCAGATGAGGCTCGTTAGCTGGGGACAGCCACTCTTCTAGGAGAGACAATCCAATATTAAACAACTGTTGCCTTGTAGTTTGTTCTTGGTTTGGACAAAGGCTATGGTAGCAAATCCAAAAAGAAAAGCAGGCTGAAATCGAAGTCAATGACACTCAACGGCGCAAAACCAGTTGACACGTATACTTTATTGTCCTGGAGGGGATACCTTTCAACACTAAAATTAAGATTGAAGAAGAAGAATTCTGTTGAAGACATAAGCGAAACGTTATGATACAACCGGATAATTTTAATATACATTTTATGTTGTGTTTAGATTCTAATTGATTGCATGATCGCTTGGGTTAGGGGTCAGGGAAGTGGGGTACGGGAATATTTCATGTGTTAGAACACCACTTTAAATATAGTAACAACCATTACTAATGCTAACACTGCTGTCTGATGGGCTATTTTTGGCCCCTCTGTTTGAGTGGTGGTGTTTGTTAGAGGATTTACTTGTTTGACGACTGTCGGTCTTCGGACGTCGTCCCCCCTACCCCCCCCCCCCCCCCCCCGGGACACACATGCCCTAGTCATCCACAGACAGACAAATTGACAGCACGTCTGGGTGGTGGTACATGTATGGGGTGTGTATCACCTATTCCGTGTAGCACCTACTATGTATATTACCTTCTGTGTGTATTACCTATTGTGTGTAGCACCTATTATGTGTAGCACTATTGTGTGTATCACATACAGTGTGTAGCAACTATTGTGTGTATCACATACAGTGTGTAGCAACTATTGTGTGTATCACATACAGTGTGTAGCAACTATTGTGTGTATCACATACAGTGTGTAGCAACTATTGTGTGTATCACATACAGTGTGTAGCAACTATTGTGTGTATCACATACAGTGTGTAGCAACTATTGTGTGTATCACATACAGTGTGTAGCAACTATTGTGTGTATCACAGACAGTGTCTAGCACCTACTGTCTGTGACTGAATTGTTTGGGGTAAAATTTTGAACCTCTGTCGTGTTGCAGACGTTGCGAGAAGAGTGCCTGAAACTACAGACGAGAGTCCAAGACCTGGAGCTACAGAACAAGCACCTGAACCTGATGTTCCAGCAAAGGATGAGGCTGACGACTGACTCCCTGCTTCAGGTAAGTCCGTCTATTTCTAGCATTCATTACCTGGCAGAGGCGTAGCGACCCTTCCCGACGCCCGGGGACAAACTTTCGATTTGCACCCACCCCCCCCCCCCCCCACTCGAACTTTCGATTTGCACCCCCCCCCCTCGAACTTTTCATTTGCACACCCCCCCCTCAAACTTTCAATTTGGCGCCCCCCCTCAGGTCGGCGCCCGGGGACATATGTCCCCCCCCCCCTCGCTACGCCTCTGTTACCTGGACCTATTTTACGAAAATAACTTTATCGGCAGTGTATACAGTTGTATTGTTTAGGGCTCTGATAACATCGTGTATTGTTATTGTATAATTTTTTTTTAAATATTTTGTTTACCATCTACTATGTTAGGTTTCAGTATATCATGGGGAAATTTTTGTTTTTTTTCTTTACACATTGAAATTGAACTGAAGTATAAAAACTAATATTTTATATCAAAATTTAAAAAAAAACGTGTTTTTTTATAAAACATTATTTATTAACACCTTCCTTAAATCGAGTCACATTAGGTTAGGTTACCTTAGTAGGAACTGATAAAAATAGTTAAATACTTTTACATTGGATACCAATTGCCGTTTTAGCTTTTAAGTGTTACGACTATGAAGCTCATCTTAAATATGAGTTAACTTTTAGGTTTTTAACCAATCCAACACAGGGGTCATCCATCAATGACGTCACGCCTTTTGACGATTTTTACCCCCCCCCCCCCCCTCCCTTCCGTCACACGTCGTCACAAAAAGCCAGACACCCACCCCTAAAATGACGCCACACCTCAGTCTACAACCCCCCTCAAAATTGCTGTTGAATTTTCTTAAAACATCGATATTTTAACAAAATTTTGTCAGAACTATTTCAACATAGAGTATTTTGATCATCTCCTATTACAATTTATTAAAACCGTTTTGTAAAACGCGAAATAACGGCTAAAACTTGTTTTTTAACATTGCTTTTGTAAAATGCAAAAGTGTGACGTCACACCATCTGACCCCCCCTCCCTCTTATCACACACAAAATTACGGACCCCCCTCCCCTCCCCCTCCCCATACGACTGTGACGTCATTTATGGACGACCCCTATCACGTGACTGACTTACTCTGCAGGTCCAGCATACGTCATGCATCACCACCACCAACCTGTGTCGCACAGCACTCACAACAAACTCTTCTGCGGCAGCCCTCTCTCAAGGGGAGATGACTCTAGAAATTCTCAACAACGCCGGCTCCCTGCAAAGCATGTGTAGTGAAATAGTGAGTTACTTCCCTTTGACTGTTCCTTGGTTTTGTTGTGATTAGTTTGAATTGTAATTTTTCCTGAAATAAATTGTATATTTTATTCATTGTAAATTAAGGATAAATTTAATTTTACTTTTATCAACACTTTTAGTCTCTAAGTTAACTAATTCAAAATTTGCATTTGTTTTGAGAGTTTATAACTTTTCTAAAAAGCGTAAATTTAAACATTTACATTAAAAATAATTGTCGTATTCCAATATTTTGTTTTACTATTATACATCCAAATTTGGTGTTTAACTTCGTTATAATATTTTACATTTTAATGCCATCTTACACTAAAATACCATATTTTAACTTACAATGCCAAATGTTACATTAATGATACAATAGTACATAACAATACCATATTACATAACAATACTGTGTGTTATGTTAAAATGTCATGTTACATTAACAGCATTTTACATTTTAATATCATATGTTGAAAATTTTACTAAAACATCTTACACAACATTAGCAAATCATAAATATCACGTTACTTAACCATACATTATGAAACTATACGTTACATCAAAATACCTATGTTATATTATAAGTTCATATTTTGCCTTAAATTCAATTTAACTAATATATTTGTTTTTTTAACTCTTAGTTGGGAGATGACAGCCCGGGCAAACCTCAACTAAGTTCACCCCCACCCTGGCTGAAAGACAAACTTGGAATCCCCGGGGGAGGGGACACCAGCCCCAGCTCAACCAACTCCTCCCTCTCCACCCCCAGCCCCTCCACGCCCGATGGCAAGGACCAGATCCTGCAGACAAAAATAGAAACGGAGTTCCCCGCAAACAACACGAGCCCGAAGGTGAAGCACATCAACGTCTACCACGCGAGAACCAGGTCACTGGAGCGTGGGATCTCGGGATGGGAGAGTCGAGAGACAAGAGCAGCAACTCGTGCGCGTCGAGACTCCGACGTCGATAAAACGTCGTTCTCCGTGCCGAGGCTCAAGCAATCGACGTCCGCGGACGCGATCAGCCGTTACGGTATCGGCAACAAAACGTCCTCGTCGTTAATCTTAGCATCCAGCCGGTGGAACGAATCCTCCTCGCACGATCGCCTCACCCCCAACACACTACTTCAGTCCCTACCCCGGGATGACGGGCGTGCTGTTTTAGTCGCCGGCGCCGACTTCAATCACCAAAGTTTCGAGGCTTTCAACAAAAATTTCGAGAAACTTCTCGCGAAAAACTCCAGCGAAGACGCCTCCTCAAGCAACCCTGTACAAAAACCAGCATTCAAATCTCCCCACTCTACTTCCGCTGCTTCAAGATCAAAATCTTCCATCTTCAAAAGACTCACAGCGAAAAACAATTCTCCCCCTACAACTACCTCCCCTAGCTCCTCAACCAATAACAAATCTACACCTCACACTAAAACAAAACCCGCCCCTTCACCGGCATTACGAAACCCCTTCGCAGAACCCCTCAAATCACCAAAGTCTCCCAGTAACGTCCCGAGCCAGTATTACTACTACGACTACAGCGACGAAGACAGCGACTCTCGTCCGGTCTCCCGAGACTTCAGCACCGCCTCCACCACGTCGCTAAACGAACTACTCGATAGCAGCATGGAAGGGGAACCTGCTCTGGACGACGATTTCTTCTCAGACTGGTCCTCCGTTTGTATCACTCCCCGTCAGAGAATCGACCACCTATCCGGAGTCGCTATATCAAACAACGCCATGCAGTCTAAACTAAGAAACTTAAGTTCTAGCTCATCTTCAAGATCAACCTCATCCTCGCCGGAATCTTCGGGTGTTTCCGTCAAACCAAAATCTTCAACGCCAAAAGAGTTGAGTCTTCAGAAAAATAAATCAGTTGTGACTGCAATAAAACTGGAAGAAGAAACACTTACAAAAACTACGGATAAATCGGCTTCTAATTCACTTCCGTCTAAACCGGAAAGTTTGAATTCAGATGTGGTACAAACTTCTCAGACTATACCCCCACAAACTCTTGCTGTGAATCTTGATAATTCCCAGCCCAAACAAACAATTTCCCAGAACCAAGTCGAGATCCGAACCGGGGATCGTTCACAATTTCTTTCCTCACCATCCCCATCACCAAACTTGAGCCAGAAATCTGACCTGGGCTATGCTAGCAAGGGGAGCTACTCTCAATCCTCGCCGTCACCTTCACCTTCCTTGTCCCACAGAGGCACGCCCCCCTGGATACAAAGCTCCAAAGACGCTCACCAATTCACGAAGAACGATCTCCTGACTTTAATCATCAATCGAGAAACAATGGGCGCAAGTCCTAGAAGCGTCCCTAATACGCTCAGCGCAGTCGAGAGCCCGAAACTCATCCGGCCCGGGCAACTCATCCTGGCCCCGCAAGACAAAAACTTCAACTTCCAAGGCTTCAGCTCTACCAGTTCAACCAGCTCTGAGGACAAATCCCCTCTAAAAATCTTCGAATCCCGACAAAACAGTGATATGAAATCTTCCGTGATCGAAGTTAAAAAAGACGGCACTTTCGTCCACCCAAAACGATCATTCGGTGACAGTTCAAACGACAACAGCGCCAGTGTTAGCCCCAGTAGCCCGATCAAAAGCCCTTCTAAAATACCTCCACCGGTGGCCAAAAAGCCCATCAGAGCGGTAAAACCCGAAGCCAGATCGACACCGAAAGAAACAAACGGGAAAGATTCTCATTATAAATTCCCAGGAAATACAAATATAACTGTAGGGTTTTTGTTACACAATCAACATACCTCAGTTCCTTTAGGTAACGAAGCTAGTGAACACTTTTCAAAACTTCCAATCAAAGATTCAAAATCTTCACTACACACGAAACATTCTTTAGATTTTGGATTTCCCTTCCAAGCCAAATGTCAGTCTTCAGATTCTAGTTTTGAGAACTTGAAAGTTGAAAGGTCAGGCAGCAAAGATGACGGCTACTCAACCATGTCTTCCGATATCCACCCAGAAGTTTTAGAAAAATTCAGCGACACGCTGACTAGAAAATTTTCCGAAACGGATTCCGACCCCCATAAACCTAGCATGGCGGACAACGACCCCCTGCATTGCCGAGAGAGGCGAAACTCCGACTCGGTGATTCCCAGTCGTGATAGGTCATTTGATCTAACCAGTGACCCCGACTCCGCCCTCGAGACCTCGATACACAGCACCGCAGAAATGGTGACGAGTTCGTCCTCCCAAATCTCGACCTCCAGCAGTGATTATCCTCTCAGTCCGTGTGCCTCAAAGGTATCCAAAGTCACGAGACTCTTCGATGTAGAAAACACAAAAATAAATTTTCTCCCCGCCGCTGTGAATGGCATACAGTGCATACAAAACGATAACGCGGTGTCTCATTCAGATTCCAGCAACTCTACTTCCCCTGTCTCGCCCAACAGTCTACCTACAAACTATCAACTTCCGGAAAGTCCAAGACGATTAGCGCACGAATTTCAAAAAACTACCTCGACTAAACTAACCTGCAGTCCAATAAATGTACATAAAACACCTTCAGAAAGTCCAAAATTACCCAAATACAACAACGGAAGCCTACGCTTACCATCAAAACCAACCAACCCCTCACCAACGACCATTCCTGTATCAGTTCCAACCCAAAAACCAGCTTCTAAACCCGATCCTTCTGCTTCTTCATCAACGTCTACATCCACCAGACTCCCTAGAGGTTTCTATAACAATAAATCAACTGGTACCAAATCTTCGACTGTAAAACAATTCAAACCTTCAACGAAACAAGACAATATTCCAAAATCTGAAACTACACTTGCTAAATCAGACTCCATACATCTACACAATTCTGACAATTCGAATTCCAATAGCTTAGATACTGAAGAAAATCAAAAAGACATTTTAAACAACAACAGCCCACGAACAATCAAAACAAATTCACCAAATATAACTTCACAACCAGCGGATAATGAATTTCTGAATAAATTAGAAAACTATGCAAACTTAACAAGCAATACTCACAGTAAATCTGAAATATGTAATGATAGTGTTGAACAAAGAACGCATGACAATGTGAATATCAATTCCGTGGGGTCGTCTGTACATCAGACACCGGCTGTAGGAAATACCAAAAAGTGTTCTAAAACTGATAGTGGGAGTACCCAAACTAACAGCAACATCACGGCTGTAGTTACCACGCCAGGTCTTAGAACCACTGAGAAAAATCAAGTTCATGTAATGGTGAACCCCGTCTTGGCATCAACAGAAACTCCACAGCTTCCAACGAATGAGAAAACAAAACTTGAAACTCAACAGAAAAGAAGCTCGTGTATTATCCTGACCAATCAGGCGTTTCAACTGATTTCATCAGATTCTGAAATTGATGAGGATGGTCATCGTGAATCTTCTCTTCATGTCGATAACAACATCGATGTTGGTCAAACACATGGTAGTGAATCTCCATCGAATACCAACATCAAAAGCGTTACGAACAATATCACTCATTCCTCCAATCACACCTCTACCTCCTTACGCCTCAACTCGAACCAGGATCGACCTCACATTCACGCAGCTATTCCACCTATGCAGCTATCACCCAACCCCTCGTCTTCCATCACCACCATACAAGGGCAGCTACAATCCAACAACGCGACGCCAACCCGCCAACCATCTGTGGATACAATCAGCATTTTCCCTCCAAGATGCCTTCAAAGGTCCAAATCCGAGCAGGATCTCTACGGGAGGCCCAGGTCTTCCAGTGCCTATGATGCCTACTTTGGGTCAGTTTGGGACAGTGGGAAGGTTCTGGAAAGGTCAGTCTCAGTCTCGGAACTTGACCTCTTGCACAAGAACCAAGATTCATACCTCAACTGGAACCCGCAACACTCGGTAAGTCTCATCTGTTTTGTGTCAGTCAGTTCTTTAAAATATATTCCATAAACTACCTTCACGAAACTTTTTTTTTATAACTACTCTGTATATTTCATCTAGTCAGATCTGCTTAATCAGTAAATACATTATATCGTAAATACATTTAATTGTATGAAATAGAATAAGGAAAAAAAAAGTAAAAGAAAAAAATATCTGAGGATGGTTTAGATTTTTTGTTGTTGCAATTTTGTAGGTCTTTTGTCTTCCAGTTTTAGAAATAGTATCAGTTTCTTATTAATTAACAATGTAATTTTGATAAAAGCCTAATTAATATGTATATACATTATACAACATAGTTTGTTTCAAAATACTAAATACACATGTTTACCTGTAAAAAAGCGTAACTTTTTGTAAATAAACAAAAGCCATCAGCTTCAGACCATTAGGCTTGGAAAAGCTGAAACTGTAGAATTGAAAGCCCTAATCACATAACACTACACTATCTCAAACCTTTCGTTGAAATGTTAAATTCGCAACACAAAAATTGGTTCTAAAGAATCATACTATTATTAATCAAAGTACTAGCCAGTTTAGGTACTACCCTGTGGAACTGTCGCATGTCTTTATGTGCTCACCTCTAAAATAACATGCCGTTTATGGATTCTATAAACCACCATCGGATTAAATAAATTCGTTGCTGGTCAACCTATTTGGAACACCACGATTTTAATCATACATGTAGAAAATGTTTTTAACTTGTTGATATTTCTCCATAAGGGTTCCAGCACCAGAACTCAGTGCCACCAGATGCATTGGAACCTTCTTCCATCGCAACCGTCTGCAGCATTTCCCGTCAATCTCTCTCGCAACCAGCAGCCCCGGGCCCAACCCCAGGTCTCCCTACCCCTCAGGCAGATCGTCCACCACACCCACCACCTGTACAGCCCGTGGACCCAGACTCTGTGCCTCGACCTCTCTGACGTCACGGAGCTGGACGAGGAAGGCTCCGAGGTCACGGCGACCTCGTTTGACATGAGCCTGTTCCAGAGCGGCCTGGTCTGCGATGAGAGTCCGAGACTTAGCGTCGACGACCAGAAGCGGTTCAACAGCCAGTTCTACAGCTTGTGCCAACTCGGTTCCAACCGATCTCTCCTCTCCTCCGGCAACGAGAGCCGCGACAAGCTCTCTATCACGAGCCTCAACGAAATCCTCAGCACCAAAAGTCTCGACGGCGCCGCCAACCCGTCGGATTTCGACACCGTCGATGATGAGGAAAACGAAATCGCCATCAAGGAGTTTGACGAGATCTCTAAGCAAATCGCGAGTTTATCCAAAACGGTGGATGAGCTTAACCAGAGCTTATCCAGCTTAAACAGTGGGGAGTATGAACCGTGCAGGCATCATTTTTCGGAATCTGAGTCCTTGCAGGCTTCAAGACCTCAGGTTCTAGACGGGTACCATTGGGTGAACGATGAGTTCTACCTGACCTCCTGTAATGGCGAGATGTTAATCAGCGGTAACGACCTCGCGGGGGATGACTTGTACAGCGATATCTTCACGCTAAGCCGCTCTTTCGATTCCAACGGCAGCGAAGACGCGACAGGAGAATTTTACCAGGTGCCCCTGGGTGGGAGTAACGGGGACTCTACTGCACCTGGACAGGATGAAATTTTCGCCGGGTCGAATTTTGACACGGTCAAGGAAAACCACAAAGAGAAGAAGGGCGTCCAATCAAGTGGAGTCACCAAGGAGAAGGGGGACAACCTTGTGTGTTCAGTAGAAGTTTCGACACAGTCTACTGAAGATAGGAAGGTTGAGGAGACTCCAGTGAAGGACGATGGAAAATTGGAAGAAAAGAGCGGCAGTGAAAATAAAGAGGTAAGTTCAAAAGATGGATTTAAAATATTCATGAAACAAACTTATTTCTTTTATAATATCAGAAACTATGTCCGGATTGTTAAAAATGTAGTAGATAAAGGGATTTAACTCTTGTAGTAGATAAAGGGATTTAACTCTGAAAATAACACTTTCCAGTTATTTCTAAGTGTCAAAAGTACGTTCTGTACTCATTTGTAAGAAACGTGTATAAAATAAAACCCAAGCTTTTGGCTTAGCTCTATGTGGATTTCATTATCTCTTACACTAGTCAAGGTTAATTTCAAACACTCTTTATGTCAGATTCGAGTCACTTATGTTGTTTGCGAAAGATAATTCAAGAAAGACACGTAGAAATCTTAAAATGTACTACCTAGCTAAATCTTGCAAGCTCTTATAAAATTTTCTAAAATTAAAAAAAAAATCTACCTACCAAAAAAAAACAAGTAATTAAAAAAAGTCTAGTGACAATTTTAGCGCAATTTCCTTATGTTATCTAAAAATAGCTCTGTCGTAGCGTAAATCAAGAGCAGGGTTAGTAAAACCATTGGTTAGTTATTAAAACGTTTTTTATTAATTTTTTTTCAGTATTTTACATGTTTTATTTACAATAGAGTAACATGACTAAAACCCATTGCGCGCCTAGCTACCGAACATGATGTCGCAGCCACTGAACGTGATGGCGCAGCTATTGAACGTGATTACGCGTGTGGTGTGGTTGGATAAAATGCCTACTAATTCGGTCCAAATTTTAATTAATTCAAAAAACATTTTGTGACCGAACGAAAGTATATTTTTGAAAACTTGTTTCGGCAATATTGTTCTAAATTATGGCAGGAATCGATTGGTACATGTTTCAAGTCGCTAAGTGGTCTGGTTGCCGAGATATTGGCCAAAAAACTGATTTTTTTTTTTCGAGGTTTTTTGGCTTTTTCGGGAAATCCATGAAAGAAACCCGGAATTTTTTTGGCCTATGTTCATCCTGGTAACTTGCTTAATATATTTGCTTTTGGAACTAGTCCTCGATATTGCTTCGTTGAGGAGGAGATACGACTTAAAGCTGCGGACACACATCCATTCCCAGAAAAGACGAGTTAATAAACGCAATTCTCCAGAATGGAAATTGCGCTAAAAAAAATCTACCAAATAATACGTGTCTGAGGCGAAAAAGGGAAGAAAAAAAAATTACCAAATACTTGACAGCAACTAAAGGATTAAAAATTAAACCTCATAAATTGCAAGAAAGACCTATGTAAACATTTTATTTTGGAAACATTTCTGTTTTAATCAAGTGCCCTTTAAGTTATATTTCATTGTGTTTTACAGGTGCTTGATCAGACCGAGTCTTTGAATGGGTCCAACAATGACAGCGACGATAGTCTGGCCAGTGATATAGGCCTGGATTACATGATGTGTCAAAGGCTATTTGGTCGCAAAGGTGAGTGATGTTTCACACACATTTCCTATTACAATAAAGTCATGATTTGTGTGGTTTATCGTAAATCGTGTTAGCTATAATGTTAGATACATATATGCATATTATATATATAGGCCTATCTATCTATATACTACTAAAACTCAACTTTGTTTACATGTTTGAATATTTATTTGTTTGCCTGATCGACTATTGTGATATGTTCGACTCTATCTGGAAAGCTGTAAAATAGTATGCAGGTAGAGAATAATTTTTTAATGCAGACAGACTGTTGATCACAAATTTATTTAAAGACGTTAATTAATTTATTGATTTATTCATAGTTAAATTAACCGTATTTTTTTTAAAAATGTTAATACTTTGAATAAACTTTGTGGGGATAGTGACGTCCCTTGATGTGTTTACATTTTTGGTACAATAAAAATGGCGGACCCCATCATAGACTTTGTGGCCCATTCAAAAGTTTAACGCGTTACAAAGCTAATTTTCTGCCGGCTATAACTTAAACAATACGTCCTTTTGCTGTATTTATTACGTTCCAACACTTATATCAATTTTCAACTGTCTTTTTCATTTAGTTTTACGATAAATTTCTCTAGATCTAAAGATCAGCTATCGAAGGAAATTTATGAATCTAGCCTAGATCTAGATCTAGATCTAGATCTAGCCTAGATGTAGGTCACTAGATTCAATGTAAATTCTACATCTAGAATCTATTTCAGGCCTTAATTATTTTATATAAATCTTTGTTTGGCTTATTTAAGATAAAATTTAATTTGAAAGTTAGTACTACTAGACTTATTTTTAGATCTAGATCTAGAATCTATACGCGTAAATCAAGTTGCATAAGGAGACACATAGTATAGTATAAAAATTCACTTGTGACGTCACGAGTAAATAGCTAAAATGGTAGCGTAGTCAGCTCTTATGCAGGAGGCACGGGTTCTAGACCAATATGTCAATGAAATTTTTTTTTTCAATTTTTTTTTTTAGATGTGAATGATAACGTTGCCTATCTGAACTTGGCAAGATACAGGGCAGGTGAAGTAGAGTTCATCTGTTTCTTTGTCCTAAGCATATGAAAGGATAGTGTGGTCAGATACATGCTCGGCTGGAATTGTTTTTTAAACGATAAAAACATGTTGTCTGAGACTTGGCAGGACACTGGGCAGGTGAAGTAGAGTTGAGTAGGTCACCTGTGACGTCAGTTTATGAAGGGATAGTCCGAAATCGGTGTTTTCGGTGTTTTTAAAAGATAAAAAACATATATTTGAATGTGGGGTCTGTTTTTTGTGACGATAAGTGACACTGCAGTAGCGTACCGAGGAGGGGGGGGGGGGGGGGGGGGGGACGGTAGGGGAGGGGAGGCGGGGGGGGGGGGGAAGGGGAGGCGGGGGTGGGGAGGGGGAAGGGGGGGGGGGGACATATGTTGGGGCGCCAAAATGGTTTGGAAAAATAAATTGATAGGTTGAGGGGGGTTCAAATCGAAAGTTTGAGTGGGGGGGGGGGGGGGGGGGGGGGGAATTGCACATCAAAAGTTTGAGGGGGGGGGGGTTCAAATCGAAAACTTTGTCCCCGGGCGCCGGGAAGGGTCGCTATGCCTCTGAGTGACAGACGTGATGTTTTTTGATGGATGACCCCCGAAACCCACAGTTATCCAACGGATGACGGGTATTCTAGTATATACTAATACATACTCAATATGTACCTTTTATATACATGTATAACAGCGATATGTTGTCCATAAATGAAGGCACACTTGTAGGGGGGGTACATATGTCCCCGGGCGCCAACCTTAGGGGGCGCCAAAATGGGTTGTAAAAACAAATTAAAATGTCATTTTAGCTGGATTTTGCAGTTTGAGGGGGGTGCAAATTGAAAATTTGCTCCCGAGGGGGGCGCCAAATTGAATGTTTGCTCCCGAGGGGGGCGCCAAATTGAAAGTTTGTCCCCGGGCGCCGGGAAGGGTCGCTACGCCTCTGGAGAAGGGTCCGTAATTTTGTGACGGTGTGTGATAAAAAAAACCAATGTTAGAAAACAAATTCTAGCCGTTATTTCGCGTTTTAGAAAACTGTTTTAATAAATTATAATAGGAAGTTATTAACATACTCTACTGTTACAGAGTTCAGACAAGATTTTGGGAAAATATCGTATTTTAAGAAAAATTCAACGGCAATGTTGAGGGTGGGGTGGTTGTAGGCTGAGTTGTGAGGTCATTTTATGGGGGGGGGGGGGGTTGTAGGCTGAGTTGTGAGGTCATTTTAGGGGGGGGTGTAGGCTGAGTTGTTGAGTTGTGAGGTCATTTTAGGGGGGGGGGGTTGTAGGCTGAGTTGTGAGGTCATTTTAGGGGGGGGGGGGGGGTGTAGGCTGAGTTGTTGAGTTGTGAGGTCATTTTAGGGGGGGGGGGTTGTAGGCTGAGTTGTGAGGTCATTTTAGGGGGGGGGGGTGTAGGTTGAGTTGTGAGGTCATTTTAGGGGGGGGTGTAGGTTGAGTTGTGAGGTCATTTTAGGGGGGGTGTAGGCTGAGTTGTTGAGTTGTGAGGTCATTTTAGGGGGGGGGTGTAGGCTGAGTTGTGAGGTCATTTTAGGGGGGGGGTGTAGGCTGAGTTGTTGAGTTGTGATGTCATTTTAGGGGGGGGGGGGTTGTAGGCTGAGTTGTGAGGTCATTTTAGGGGGGGGTTGTAGGCTGAGTTGTGAGGTCATTTTAGGGGGGGGGGGTTGTAGGCTGAGTTGTGAGGTCATTTTAGGGGGGGGGGTTGTAGGCTGAGTTGTGAGGTCATTTTAGGGGGGTGGTCTCTTTTTACAAGCTTTTATTTAACTCACTTCCTCTGTCGTCAGTCGTCAGTCGTCAGTCTAGACGGAAACGCAGGAGTGAAAATTCGGACAGTTCTACTTGACCGATACGATTCACAGTTGGCACGTGGGTCAAGACATGAAGACAATGCAATCTGAATCTAAATTTGACTTAATTGGATGCCTAATTAATTTTTTATGAATTAATTAAAATTTGGACCGAATTAGTAGGCATGTCTAGCCAACCACACCACACGCGTCATCACCTTCAATAGATGCGCCATCACGTAATGGCTGCGTTCAAAAACAATTGCGCGCCTACTGAACGTGATGTAAAGTACTGAAAAAAAATTCATAAAAAACGTTTTAATAACAAGCTTTTATGTAATGATGCACTAAAAAGTAGAAAATAAATTATAGACTACTATTTAAATAACTATAAAGAAAAGCGTGGGTGTCTTCCTTAACATTAGTAAAGGTATCCAATAGATACTAAAGTGACCCACGCTTTTCTTTATAGTTATTTAAATAGTAGTCTATAATTTATTTTCTACTTTTTAGTGCATCATTACATAAAAGCTTGTTATTAAAACGTTTTTTATGAATTTTTTTTTACAAGCTTTTATTTAACTCACTTCCTCGTCAGTCGTCAGTCGTCAGTCTAGATAGAAACGCAGGAGTGAAAATTCGGACAGTTCTACTTGACCGACACGATTCACAGTTGGCACGTGGGTCAAGACATGAAGACAATGCAATCTGAAACTAAATTTGACTTAATTGGATGCCTAATTGATTTTTTATGAATTAATTAAAATTTGGACCGAATTAGTAGGCATGTCTAGCCAACCACACCACACGCGTCATCAATAGCTGCGCCATCACGACCACGTAATGGCTACGTTCAAAAACCATTGCGCGCCTACTGTACGTGATATTCAGTAGGCGCGCAATGGTTTTTAGTCATGTAACTCTATTGTAGATAAAACATGTAAAGTACTGAAAAAAAAATACATAAAAAACGTTTTAATAACAAGCTTTTATGTAATGATGCACTAAAAAGTAGAAAATAAATTATAGACTACTATTTAAATAACTATAAAGAAAAGCGTGGGTGTCTTCCTTAATATTAGTAAAGGTATCCAATAGATACTAAAGTGACCCACGCTTTTCTTTATAGTTATTTAAATAGTAGTCTATAATTTATTTTCTACTTTTTAGTGCATCATTACATAAAAGCTTGTTATTAAAACGTTTTTTATGAATTTTTTTACAAGCTTTTATTTAACTCACTTCCTCTGTCTGTCGTAAGTCGTCAGTCGTCAGTCTAGACGGAAACGCAGGAGTGAAAATTCGGACAGTTCTACTTGACCGACACGATTCACAGTTGGCACGTGGGTCAAGACATGAAGACAATGCAATCTGAAACTAAATTTGACTTAATTGGATGCCTAATTGATTTTTTATGAATTAATTACAATTTGGACCGAATTAGTAGGCATGTCTAGCCAACCACACCACACGCGTCATCAATAGCTGCGCCATCACGACCACGTAATGGCTGCGTTCAAAAACCATTGCGCGCCTACTGAACGTGATATTCAGTAGGCGCGCAATGGTTTTTAGTCATGTAACTCTATTGTAGATAAAACATGTAAAGTACTGAAAAAAAAATTCATAAAAAACGTTTTAATAACAAGCTTTTATGTAATGATGCACTAAAAAGTAGAAAATAAATTATAGACTACTATTTAAATAACTATAAAGAAAAGCGTGGGTGTCTTCCTTAACATTAGTAAAGGTATCCAATAGATACTAAAGTGACCCACGCTTTTCTTTATAGTTATTTAAATAGTAGTCTATAATTTATTTTCTACTTTTTAGTGCATCATTACATAAAAGCTTGTTATTAAAACGTTTTTTATGAATTTTTTTTATTACAAGCTTTTATTTAACTCGCTTCCTCTGTCGTCAGTCGTCAGTCTGTCTAGACGGAAACGCAGGAGTGAAAATTCGGAAACTTCTACTTGGCCGATACGATTCACTTTTGGCACGTCGGTCTAGACATGAAGACAATGCAATTTGAAACTAAATTTGACTTAATTGGATGCCTAATTAATTTTTTATGAATTAATAAAAATTTGGACCGAATTAGTAGGCATGTCTAGCCAACCACACCACACGCGTCATCAATAGCTGCGCCATCACGACCACGTAATGGCTGCGTTCAAAAACCATTGCGCGCCTACTGAACGTGATGTTCAGTAGGCGCGCAATGGTTTTTAGTCATGTAACTCTATTGTAAATAAAACATGTAAAGTACTGAAAAAAAAATTCATAAAAAACGTTTTAATAACAAGCTTTTATGTAATGATGCACTAAAAAGTAGAAAATAAATTATAGACTACTATTTAAATAACTATAAAGAAAAGCGTGGGTGTCTTCCTTAACATTAGTAAAGGTATCCAATAGATACTAAAGTGACCCACGCTTTTCTTTATAGTTATTTAAATAGTAGTCTATAATTTATTTTCTACTTTTTAGTGCATCATTACATAAAAGCTTGTTATTAAAACGTTTTTTATGAATTTTTTGTGACGATGTATGACGGTAGTGGAGAAGGGAGGTAAAAATCGTCCAAAAAAGCGTGACATCATTTATGGATGACCCCTATTTATATGTAGAGAGTATCATTCCATCTAAGCCTCACCATTGAAATACTTACTAATTTATTTTACAATAATTGAACTGTTTACATGCTAATTAACCTCATAAAGCAGCATATTTGATTCAAAAGATATTCCAATCATGCTTGTATTTCTTGCCCAGGTCGCATCCAGCCGTCAGCAGGTCAGACCAACAAGCCAGCCGTCGATTTCGCCACGTTTTTCGTCCGCTACGGCGAACCGGAAAAGGAAGCCGTCGCCGCCTTCAACTTTCTGGACCAGCTTTCTGAAGGCGGAGCCGACGGCAAGCCCGACTGGCTAAGGTGGAACCAGAACTACGAGAACGTGGAGGGTCAAGGTCACGCGAGGGCGGGAACCGCACCGGAAGGAAAAGAAACCAGAGACGTCGGCGTTGACGCCATGAGCCAATCCCAGCGTTCCCTGAGCGCCAGTTTTGAAACTTTCAACCAATCGGTTTCGAGCTCGGATGACGACACACTTCCGGTTTCGGAGATTCGCCGTGACGAAGAAAATAAACCGGAAGTCCGTAAACAGAATCAAATCAGGAGCGTTGCGAGCCACGGGTGTGAGATTGTGGCAAAAGGAGGGTATAACACTTGCTATAAACGACCGCAGTCGGAGAACAACAAAGAAATAATTCACCAGCGAAGCATGAGCGCAGACAACCCCGCCTCGTATTCGGATTTCGTCGCCGATTTAAAAACATCCAACCCCAGCGATGTCCCTGCACCCAAACTCCCACCCCGGCGACCCATCATCACCAACGGCAGTCTGAACCTCAACCTGGAGAGAGACATCCCACCTCTCCCGCCCCCACCCCCGTGTCTAATCAACCCCCAGGATCATCAAGCTTGTCAACGAAAAGGTCGTAGTTCCCCTAAAGTTCAAAGTTCACCCAAGGTTCAAATCCAATCGATCCACCCTCCACCATCAAGGCATCACGCGCCGTATGTCAACCAACAAATTCCTCGGTTAGCGCTCCCCAGAAACACCCGACCCCTCAGCGAGCCCTCCGTCTCCACCAACACACCTCACTACCTCAGCTCAACACCCCCACCCCTCCCCCCGCGCCATCCTCAAATTACCCGCACCCTAGACGGGCGCCCCCAAATCATCATTCGCCCACATCGTTTTCAACTCGACAGTCCCCACCCCGACGGAGGCCTGCAATCCTTCGACCACTACCTCATAGACAAAACCCGGGCCACCGTCTCCTCCCCGTCCCCCACCTCCCCCATCACACTCCCCCGACCCCGGAGCCACTCTGACGTCATCGTCCCCACCTTAAAACCCAACCTAGAAAAAACCAAAGAAGACTCGGCCTTGTCTAAAATACCTCGCCGTAAGCTCAAAACTCGAAGGGAGCTAAGCAAAATAAAACAAAACTCAAGCAGATCGTCTACAGAAATGGGAGTTAAAACCCCTGATTTGAATTCGAGCTACGGGCGGTGCCAAAGAAACAGTGCATCCTCGAACAAAGACCTAGCTTTGAACGAATCCACCGAAGACACGAGCTCTAGCTAAGCTCTTAAACCAATATAAATCTTCGGAAGAGTTCACTATAAACAATTTATTCATGAAATTTCTAGCTTGATTTGAACTGTTATACATATTTCAGGAATTAAATTATTTGAATTGTCATTTTTTAATCTAAAAAATGTCAAGTGTGTATGATAGTTTAAAAACTGTGTTAGACATACCTAACATATATGTGCTGTATAATATGTAGTCCATTATAGATAGATGGTAGAACCCCCCCCCCCCCCTCATCCCTCCAATAAAGCACCTTCATCATTTACTATCATTGTACCTAACTGTTTCATTATATTTATTCATGAATCTAATAAAAACAATGGGTTTTTTAATTCATTAATGCCAAATTAAATATTTTTAAAAATGCATGTTTTAGCGTAACTGATCAAATTTCTTTCTAGAGCTAGTATATGCACATAATTAATTATAGTACCGTAATGTAATTAATTATTGCAACGTATTGTAGGTAAGTTGAAAAAAATAATGCACCGTTCTTAAAACAATTTGATGAATATTAGATTTCCATTATATACACTATTCCTACCAGGGTATGTTATTATTTTTGTATTTTATATAGACAGTCGAGTATGACAGTCGATTAATACTATACTAAATTTTGTTTAACAATTTAGAATTCTACCAAAGCAATTAGAAATAGCCGTGACATAGTTTGCTATAACTGTGGTGTAGTAAGCCCAATAATATGTTAAATACTTTTATTTTTGTTACTATAGTAAATAGATTCATGTATATTTGTTTTAATTTTACTGAAACAATTGTAAAAAAAAAGAAAAAAAGTATTTGCTTATTCAAGGGAAGCTACTCTTCAGTTATTTTGTTTTTTTATATACACATTTTAAAATATTTTTTTGTACAATGGAAAACATTTGAAACTTGTTGCCAGTGTTTGTTAGATACATTTTCCGATTGAAATTCATGCAAAAAAAATAAAGAAAATATTTATGAAAAAAAAATGTTTGAATTGTTTGCATTGTGTGGTTTTTCACATTGGCGTTGGGTCGGTAAAGCTCATTGTTGCTAAGCCGAAAAGTCCTGAGTTTGAAACCTACGGCAACCCATTTAGTAGATAAAACTCCAAACAACTGCTGCCTTGTAGTTTGTTCTAGGATGGACTAAGGTTATGGAAGCAAATCCACAAAGAAAAGCAGGCTGAAATCGTAGTTTAAGTCACTTCCAACATTATAATTAACAAAGAAGAAGAGATATAGCAAAAGAGACAAAAAAATTGTCGAGTTCGCTTATTCATGGGAGCTATTTCTGAAATACGTCACTGAGTCCACCATGTTCTAATGGGTACCTGACACGTTTCGGATGGGGAGAGGTTAATAAAGGCGGTTGATTAAAGCGCTCATTTTACAATCCCTTTACACGCTGACGTTACAAAATTCATGTGAACTCTACTTCATCTGTTATTTCTTAAGTCTTTGAGTCTACCCAGCTCTGATGGATACTTAATATTAATCGGGGGGGGGGGGATCTAAAGGCGGCTTACCAAAGCACTCGCCCCCAATCCATTTACAACAGATGTAACTTTCCCTCTGTTTATATAGGACATTTATGTCATTCAAAACCAGTTCACAGAAGTGTACTGAAAAGATAATAAATGACAGATGGAATAAAAAAATTAATTAGGCGACCAATTAAGTCAAATTGAATGTCACGATGCATTGTCTTCATGTCTTGACCCACGTACGAATTATGAACCTTATCTGTCAGTTAGAAGTGCATGCAATTTCACACGGGCGTTTCGATCTAGACGGACAGAACGACCAGGAAGTGAGTGTAATAAAAGCGTGTAAAAAAACACTATTGTTAAATTCAAATCAGTGTTGCTGCAATTGGCAAATAAAATAAACACACGGTTGGTTAAAAAGACCAAGAAATATTTTAAGAAAAAAGGAAAAAAAAAGGCTTCGTACAGCAGACCACCTTTACCACCATGAAAAAAAAAGGCCATAAAATTTTGACTAGATGTTTTCTGTTGAGTCTTTGCTTTATGTTTCATTACTTGTTTCCGTAGCGCTTTGTTTTCACATGGTGGGTTGCTAGCCCAAACCCAAAACCCTGCTTTTTTTCACATGGTGGGTTGCTAGCCCAAACCCAAAACCCTCCTCTGTTTTCACATGGTGGGTTGCTAGCCCAAACCCAAAACCCTCCTCTGTTTTCACATGGTGGGTTGCTAGCCAAAACCCAAAACCCTCCTCCTTTCTCATTCTGGACTTGAGACCAGACAATAAAAGGAGAGAGCCGACTCTAGAGGCTTTGAAAGAAGATCCCTCCAACGTATCCTCAGAATAACGTGGGACGACAAAGTCCCGAACAAGGAAATATGACGAAGGACAGGTTTAAACGACATTTTTTCAGAAGTTCGAATGAGGAGATGGAGATGGCTTGGCCATGTCCTACGCATGAGCAAAAGAAGACTCCCCAACATGGCGCTGAAGTGGACTCCGCCTGGAAATCGAAAGAGAGGAAGACCACTGGGAACATGAAGGAGAGAGATGGAAGAAGAAGTGTAGGATACTGGCAAGACCTGGCATGAACTAAAGTGGCTCGCCCAGGACAGAGTGGAATGGAGATTTGTTGCTGCCCTATACTCCACAGGGAGTGATTAGGATTAAGTAAGTAAGTAAGTCCATTACTTGTGATGTAGCACTTGGAGTATAACATTAGACACCATTAAGTGCCGCACCGGGTGACACCCGACCTCGCTACGCCACTGCTTGGAGTATAACATTAGACACCACTAAGTTTGCTTCAGCACTTTATTAATCATACACAGCACCAACACCGACGACACGCTCTCAAGATTCATTCATAGCAAACTCACACACATTAATAACAAGACCGGCTACACAGTACACAGAGACAGAGGCGTCGCGAGGCGGAGGCAGGGGGGGGGGGTGCGGACACCATTTAGGGGCCGACAACAAGACAAAAAAAAAACTGCAGGATTTATAGAATAAATATGTTTTTCGCCAGTTCAATGAACGGTTAATTAGAGTTAAAAAGTATTTTAAGTACATAATTACGACCCCGAGAATGGAGGGGTGGGGGACACCATGACGTAAAGATGCAAACTATAGAGAAAACAGTGCTATTAACAACAACTATAGATAAGCGTCATTAGTATTAAATGTGAACACTTTAAATCTTTTACCGGGGAGGGGGGGGGGGGGCTGTGTTTACATCAACTGCAAAATTTACAGAGAAAAATGAGGGAGTAGGGGTGACACCGCGAGATGCTGCACCGGGTGACACCTGACCTAGCGACGCTAATCAATGCACAGAGGCCCGACATTCAAGGGAAATCACTAAGATATATATATATATATATATATATATATATATATATATATATATATATATATATATATATATATATATACATATATATATATATATATATATATATATATATATATATATAACACAAGGGACATAATAACTAACAAGACATAATATCACACAGTATTAATTATTGATATACTTTTTTTTTCGTGCCTCAAATACGTTTAAAAAATCTTTGCGCACCACATCTAAAAATAGCAGTCGTATTTTATATTCATTTTTTCAAACCCCTACAAACCAGAAACGGAAATACTGTCTGAAAAAAACAAACAAAACACAGTCATCAGGTCTTCCTTTACTCGGTGGCTTACCCTATGTCAAATAAAAACATCGCCATCACACGACAGTAAAGGAGCGAATCATATACATCCACAACCAACTGCTGAAATAAGAAAAACAGTAAACGAAGCTTCTATTATACTATATAATCCATCCACCAAACTAAATATAACAGTAAACGAAGCTTCGATTATACTATATAATCCATCTATATAATCAATCTACCAAACTAAATATAACAGTAAAAGAAGTTTCCATTATATAATTGAATCCATCTACTAAACTAAACCGCTTATAGCATACATAGCATGATAGTGCCTTATACCATTAGAACCATCAGCAAAACCAAACCCAAGACATGTCGATTAAAACGGGCCCCACTTCCGGCACGAAAATCAAGAAGAGTGTCTCCATCAACCTCTCAGGTACCGGCATTCACTATACCAGCAGCAAGGGTTCAAAGACCAACATCCGCAGCCGTCAGAAGATCCCCGAACCCACACCCCCCAAGACGTCCGCCGACTATCTCCTGAAGAGGTCGCTGTCGGACGTTCGCAAGAAGGACCGGCTGCCGCCGCTTAAGAGGGATTCGTTCCAGGACAGTCAGGATCGTCGCACTTTCCAGAAAGGCTGGCCGGACGACATGTACGTGGACCGACAGCTGCAGATTTTGAGGTCGCCGTCGCCGAGTCTCATTAACGCCGCCTTGATAGGTAACTTGAATAGGTCATCTTTTGCTCCTTGGTCATATTTGCTCCTTGGTCATATTTGCTCCTTGGTCATCTCTGCTCCTTGGTCATCTCTGCTCCTTGGTCATATTTGCTCCTTGGTCATATTTGCTCCTTGTGGAATAAGTTGACTGTGTAGAGGTCAGGGTCAATAACCTTTCATTTGTCCGGTCCCCGGATGTTGATTTTGAATTCTCCCAAGATATTCCTCCTGTCTTCATGTTTTATAAATGTAGCTGCTTATTGATAAAGTAAACCTCGGTTTAAATTAGAACTATTTGACGGCGTGGTCGGGTGGTAGCGCGTACGACTGCTAACGCAAAAGTCATGAGATCGGGACCCGGACTTGACTATGTAGGACGTCTCTGAGTCCACCCATCTCAGTTGAGTATCAGACTGTCTTTAGGGAAAGTGAAGGTGGCATTGTATAATACTGACAACACTAACCCCTCAAATGCCGAGGTCACAGGAAACAGATGAACTTAACTTGAGATACCTCACATACGGTCTCAAATTTTTCTTTCTTCGCACCACTGGAACACCGTGATCAACCCCATAGACCCTGACACTGTCCTCTACACCGTCAACTTTCTCCCCAACCAACCCCGACCATAGACCCTGACCTCTACACCGTCAACTATAGTCCCCAACCCCGACCATAGACCCTGACCTCTACCCTATCAACTATAGTCCCCAACCCCGACCATAGACCCTGACCTCTACACAGTCAACTTAGTCCCCAACCCCGACCATAGACCCTGACCTCTACACAGTCAACTTAGTCCCCAACCCCGACCATAGACCCTGACCTCTACACAGTCAACTATAGTCCCCAACCAACCCCGACCATAGACCCTGACCTCTACACAGTCAACTTAGTCCCCAACCAACTCCAACCATAGACCCTGACCTCTACACCGTCAACTTAGTCCCCAACCCCGACCATAGACCCTGACCTCTACACAGTCAACTTAGTCCCCAACCAACCCCGACCATAGACCCTGACCTCTACACAGTCAACTTAGTCCCCAACCCCGACCATAGACCCTGACCTCTACACAGTCAACTTAGTCCCCAACCCCGACCATAGACCCTGACATCTACACAGTCAACTTAGTCCCCAACCAACCCCGACCATAGACCCTGACCTCTACACAGTCAACTTAGTCCCCAACCCCGACCATAGACCCTGACCTCTACACAGTCAACTTAGTCCCCAACCAACCCCGACCATAGACCCTGACCTCTACACAGTCAACTTAGTCCCCAACCCCGACCATAGACCCTGACCTCTACACAGTCAACTTAGTCCCCAACCAACCCCGACCATAGACCCTGACCTCTACACAGTCAACTTAGTCCCCAACCCCGACCATAGACCCTGACCTCTACACAGTCAACATAGTCCCCAACCAACCCCGACCATAGACCCTGACCTCTACACAGTCAACTTAGTCCCCAACCAACTCCAACCATAGACCCTGACCTCTACACCGTCAACTTAGTCCCCAACCCCGACCATAGACCCTGACCTCTACCCAGTCAACTTAGTCCCCAACCAACCCCGACCATAGACCCTGACCTCTACCCAGTCAACTTAGTCCCCAACCAACCCCGACCATAGACCCTGACCTCTACACAGTCAACTTAGTCCCAACCAACCCCGACCATAAACCCTGACCTCTACACAGTCAACTTAGTCCCCAACCCCGACCATAGACCCTGACCTCTACCCAGTCAACTTAGTCCCCAACCCCGACCATAGACCCTGACCTCTACCCAGTCAACTTAGTCCCAACCAACCCCGACCATAGACCCTGACCTCTACCCAGTCAACTATAGTCACCAACCAACCCCGACCATAGACCCTGACCTCTACCCAGTCAACTTAGTCCCCAACCCCGACCATAGACACTGACCCCTACACAGTCAACTTAGTCCCCAACCAACCCCGACCATAGACCCTGACCTCTACCCAGTCAACTATAGTCCCCAACCAACCCCGACCATAGACCCTGACCTCTACCCAGTCAACTATAGACCCCAACCAACCCCGACCATAGACCCTGACCTCTACCCAGTCAACTATAGTCCCCAACCAACCCCGACCATAGACCCTGACCTCTACCCAGTCAACTTAGTCCCCAACCCCGACCATAGACACTGACCCCTACACAGTCAACTTAGTCCCCAACCAACCCCGACCATAGACCCTGACCTCTACCCAGTCAACTATAGTCCCCAACCAACCCCGACCATAGACCCTGACCTCTACCCAGTCAACTATAGTCCCCAACAAACCCGGACCATAGAGCCTGACACTGTCCCCTACACAGTCAACTATAGTCCCCAACCAACCCCGACCATAGACCCTGACCTCTGCCCAGTCAACTTAGTTCCCAACCCCGACCATAGACCCTGACCTCTACCCAGTCAACTATAGTCACCAACCAACCCCGACCATAGACCCTGACCTCTGCCCAGTCAACTTAGTTCCCAACCCCGACCATAGACCCTGACCTCTACCCAGTCAACTATAGTCCCCAACCAACCCCGACCATAGACCCTGACCTCTACCCAGTCAACTATAGTCACCAACCAACCCCGACCATAGACCCTGACCTCTACCCAGTCAACTTAGTCCCCAACCCCGACCATAGACACTGACCCCTACACAGTCAACTTAGTCCCCAACCAACCCCGACCATAGACCCTGACCTCTACCCAGTCAACTATAGTCCCCAACCAACCCCGACCATAGACCCTGACCTCTACCCAGTCAACTATAGACCCCAACCAACCCCGACCATAGACCCTGACCTCTACCCAGTCAACTATAGTCCCCAACCAACCCCGACCATAGACCCTGACCTCTACCCAGTCAACTTAGTCCCCAACCCCGACCATAGACACTGACCCCTACACAGTCAACTTAGTCCCCAACCAACCCCGACCATAGACCCTGACCTCTACCCAGTCAACTATAGTCCCCAACCAACCCCGACCATAGACCCTGACCTCTACCCAGTCAACTATAGTCCCCAACCAACCCCGACCATAGACCCTGACCTCTACCCAGTCAACTATAGTCCCCAACCAACCCCGACCATAGACCCTGACCTCTACCCAGTCAACTATAGTCCCCAACAAACCCGGACCATAGAGCCTGACACTGTCCCCTACACAGTCAACTATAGTCCCCAACCAACCCCGACCATAGACCCTGACCTCTGCCCAGTCAACTTAGTTCCCAACCCCGACCATAGACCCTGACCTCTACCCAGTCAACTATAGTCACCAACCAACCCCGACCATAGACCCTGACCTCTGCCCAGTCAACTTAGTTCCCAACCCCGACCATAGACCCTGACCTCTACACAGTCAACTTAGTCCTCAACCCCGACCATAGACCCTGACCTCTACACAGTCAACTTAGTCCCCAACCAACCCCGACCATAGACCCTGACCTCTACACCGTCAACTTAGTCCCCAACCCCGACCATAGACCCTGACCTCTACACAGTCAACTATAGTCCCCAACCAACCCCGACCATAGACCCTGACCTCTACACAATCAACTTAGTTCCCCACCCCGACCATAGACCCTGACCTCTACACAGTCAACTTAGTTTCCAACCAACCCCGACCATAGACCCTGACCTCTACCCAGTCAACTTAGTCCCCAACCAACCCCGACCATAGACCCTTACCTCTACACAATCAACTTAGTCCTCTACCCCGACCATAGACCCTGACCTCTACACAGTCAACTTAGTCCCCAACCAACCCCGACCATAGACCCTGACCTCTACACAGTCAACTTAGTCCCCAACCAACCCCGACCATAGACCCTGACCTCTACACAGTCAACTTAGTCCCCAACCCCGACCATAGACCCTGACCTCTACACAGTCAACTTAGTCCCCAACCAACCCCGACCATAGACCCTGACCTCTACACAGTCAACTATAGTCCCCAACCAACCCCGCCCATAGACCCTGACATCTGCCCAGAAACTTAGTCCCCAACCCCGACCATAGACCCTGACCTCTACACAGTCAACTTAGTCCCAAACCAACTCCGACCATAGACCCTGACCTCTACACACTCAACTTAGTCCCCAACCCCGACCATAGACCCTGACCTCTACACAGTCAACTCAGTCCCCAACCAACCCCGACCATAGACCCTAACCTCTACAGTCAACTCAGTCCCCAACCAACTCTGACCATAGACCCTGACCTATACACAGTCAACTTAGTCCCCAACCCCGACCATAGACCCTGACCTCTACACACTCAACTTAGTCCCAAACCAACTCCGACCATAGACCCTGACCTCTACAGTCAACTCAGTCCCCAACCAACTCTGACCATAGACCCTGACCTCTACAGTCAACTCAGTCCCCAACCAACTCTGACCATAGACCCTGACCTCTACAGTCAACTCAGTCCCCAACCAACTCTGACCATAGACCCTGACCTCTACACAGTCAACTCAGTCCCCAACCAACCCCGACCATAGACCCTAACCTCTACAGTCAACTCAGTCCCCAACCAACTCTGACCATAGACCCTGACCTCTACACACTCAACTTAGTCCCCAACCCCGACCATAGACCCTGACCTCTACCCAGTCAACTCAGTCCCCAACCAACCCCGACCATAGACCCTAACCTCTACAGTCAACTCAGTCCCCAACCAACTCTGACCATAGACCCTGACCTATACAGTCAACTCTAGTCCCCAACCAACTCCGACCATAGACCCTGACCTCTACACACTCAACTTAGTCCCCAACCCCGACCATAGACCCTGACCTCTACACACTCAACTTAGTCCCCAACCCCGACCATAGACCCTGACCTCTACCCAGTCAACTTAGTCCCCAACCAACCCCGCCCATAGACCCTGACCTCTACCCAGTCAACTTAGTCCCCAACTAACCCCGACCATAGACCCTGACCTCTACCCAGTCAACTTAGTCCCCAACCAACTCTGACAATAGACCCTGACCTCTACACTATAAACTATAGTCCCCAACCAACCCCGCCCATAGACCCTGACCTCTACCCAGTCAACTTAGTCCCCAACTAACCCCGACCATAGACCCTGACCTCTACCCAGTCAACTTAGTCCCCAACCAACTCTGACCATAGACCCTGACCTCTACACAGTCAACTTAGTCACCAACCAACCCCAACCATAGACCCTGACCTCTACACCGTCAACTTAGTCCCCAACCAACCCCGACCATAGACCCTGACCTCTACAAAGTCAACTTGGTCCCAAATCAACCCCGACCATAGACCCTGACCTCTACCCAGTCAACTATAGTCCCCAACCAACCCCAACCATAGACCCTGACCTCTACCCAGTCAACTTAGTCCCCAACCAACCCCGACCATAGACCCTGACCTCTACACAGTCAACTTAGTCCCCGACCATAGACCCTGACCTCTACACAACTATAGTCCCCAGCCAACCCCGACCATAGACCCTGACCTCTACACAGTCAACTTAGTCCCCGACCATAGACCCTGACCTCTACACAACTATAGTCCCCCAACCAACCCCGACCATAGACCCTGACCTCTACACAGTCAACTATAGTCCCCAACCAACCCCGACCATAGACCCTGACCTCTACACAGTCAACTATAGTCCCCAACCCCGACCATAGACCCTGACCTCTACCCAGTCAACTTAGTCCCCAACCCCGACCATAGACCCTGACCTCTACACAGTCAACTTAGTCCCCAACCAACCCCGACCATAGACTCCGACCTAACTTTAATATTATTAGAGCGATGTCGGTAGCAACACAAAAAAACGTTAGTCTATTGTCGTGTCTGTGTTAGTATTTTTATGATAATCTATCATGGTTAATTAATTAATATTACATGAGTACGTCGGTGCGCAGCGTGTGTGTGCTTGCGTTACATGCGTGTGTTTGTGCCTGAGTGAGAGTGTGTTGATTAAAGTATGCGTACGTGTGTGTTTGTAATTGAGATCGCTTGTGTATGCTTGCGCGTGTTGTGTGTTACACGCATATTTTCGACGGAGCGTGTGTACGTGTGCAAGTGTGTACGTGTGTGCAGTGGCGTTGCGAGGCGGGGACGGGGGTTGCGTCCCGCACCGGGCGAAACCATTTAGGGGGGGGGGGGTGACACCAAGACAAAAAAATTAAATATATAAAAGAAAATGCTTTTTGCTAGTTCAATTGATAATTAATTAGAGTTAAAAAGTAGTTTAAGTACAAACTAATGATACCGCCAAGTTAGGGGGGGGTGACACAATGACGTAAACATGCTAACTATAGAGTAAACACAATGCTACATCCAGCTATATTAATAACCGACTCTAGATAAACTATTACTATTTAACTTTGCACACTTGAACGCTATCATCCGAGGGGGGGGGGGGTGAAACCAACTCCTAAATTTACAGAGGAAATAAAAGTTTAGTTGAATATTTTCGAGAACTAATAAGTCAGTGAACGACCGGAGCAGGGGTGACAACATAGGGCGCCGCAACGGGTGACACCCGACCTAGCGACGCCACTGCCTGTGTATACACTGTGCACTAACCAAGTCTTTAACTCACTATTTCTACAGAGTCTGGTCACATGGTCAAGTTCTCTGAAGGTAAGCAAGACCGCATGTGTTTAAACATAAGCTGTTTACTGTCCTACACTGCTGAACACGTCTTTGGGATTCCGCGTGTGTTTAAACATAATCTGTTTACTGTCCTAAACGGCTTAACACGTCTTTGAGATTCCGCGTGTGTTTAAACATAATCTGTTTACTGTCCTAAACGGCTTAACACGTCTTTGAGATTCCACGTCTTGACCGACTGTAATGTTCAGTGTTTCTTTCGGACTTTTCTCTCCGAGGGGGGGGCCTTTAAATATTTTTTTTGGGGGGGGGGGGGGGGGGGGGCGGACACTGGTAAAGTATATATATTTGTATATAAATTCACTTTAGTGAAAGTAAAGGCGGCTGTGCATAGTGCTAACTAACCACACTATACCTTCATATGCCGAGGTCTCTGAATCAGGTGAACTCTTCTTCACTTGCCCCGTAGACCGTCAAGTTCGAAAAGGAATTTACTTTAACTTTTCATCTCAATAAAATGTTAACGATAAACTAAATTAATTTGACTTAAATACCATCGCTGTAAAATTAAATGTACACACAAAGATTATAAGTACTGATCCCTTCTAATCTGTCACGCCCCCCCCCCCCCCCCCCCCTCCCCCCTCCTCCCTCAGAAACTGAAGAGCCCAAGAAGAAAGAGAAGCGTCACAGGAAGACAAGTGATTCAGGTAAATATATCTGTACACAATATGGTATCAAAACAGGTAACCACCAGGTACACACATGTACATATTAGGTACACACCCAGTTCAATGCAGGTACATAACCGTCTGTTGTACACATAAGAGAAAACTACTTGAGTTGATTCACTGGCTTAATTTGCGGGATAGGGACAAAATTTAACTTACATCCCCTCGCCACAGGTCAACCCATATTTTCAAGAATATGATGCATTTCTCAACCCCCCCCCCCCCCCCCTTCTCCCCACTTTATCCTTGATACCTAACGTTATGCACTCACTACGAAAATAGCAGTTAATATTTTCGACTTAGATCATAGAATGTTTAATCACACACACACTCATATATATATATATATATATATATATATATATATATATATATATATATATATATATATATTATATATATATAATATATATATATATATATATATATATATACATATATATATATATATACATATATATATATATATATATATATATATATATATATATATATATATATATATATATACATATATATATATATATAATATATATATATATATATATATATGTATATATATACATATATATATATATACATATATACATATATATCTATATACATATATACATATATATATATATATATATATATATATATATACTATATACATATATATATATATATATATATATATATATATATATATATATATATATATATATATATATATATATATATATATTATATTTATATATTATATATATATATATAGTTTGAAACATTGTTATAGTGTTCATCGTAATTTAAATATAACTTCCGCTTTCATTAATTTATGCAAATATTATTTTTTTTAATAATATGTGTCGTTGGTTTGAAGGTTCCGATGGATCGGATGATTCTAGAGATGGAGACAGTTCTGTAAGCGGGAAGCCAAAAAAACATAAGAGGCACAAAAAGTCAATTTCTTCTAAAATAGGTAAACTACCAGCTGTGGGTTTGGTGAGTTTTGGGGGTCGGCGTCGTAGGGCCTGTGGCGTAGCCAGGATCGTCTCAAGGGAGGGGTTCCAATTTTTACCCGGGGACAAACTTTCGATTTGCACCTCCCACTCAAACTTTCGATTTTCACCCCCCCCCCCAAGCTTTCGATTTGCACCACCCCCCTCAACTTTCGATTCGCACCCCCCCCCTCATACTTTTTCTATATACCGAGGGTCCTATAGGAGGGTTTATGACCCCCCTAACCCCCCCCCCCCCCCCGCTGCCTACGCCACTGGCTCATGTATGCTAAACCGAAAAGT